AGGATAGTAATCGACTACAAAATGTCGTTAACGGGATATCACAATAATTTCGCTTCAATGTCTGGATTTATGTTGCCATGACTATAGCCGCTATGAAATAAGGTCTTAGATATTCGGCTTTACTGGCCTTCTGGGAGTTTTTCCGGAAACCGTCGTGCCCTATAAAACTGTCTCTCTTGGTAATACTTGGTACTACGCCGTGTCTTTATTTGTGTATTTACACTATCACTGTCGAAGAATACACTGTTCCCATCTGTATCAGTGATACGTATCTTTGGGATGTCGAAACCCGCCGACTGATTATTCTCAGACTCCAAGTTTGTCAGTTCGCGGTCCCATTGACGGTCACCATGGAGACAGCAGCAGACCCGAGTCATACACTCTTCATGGCAGATTGAACCAGAGCCATGGTCGTCACGAAATGTCCCGACACAATACCGATTACACCTCCATATGTTGTCCAGATGGCCTCGTTGCCAGTAACAGAATAGCACCCCAACGATGAAAACGCCCAATACAATTATTCCCAGAAAGTCTAGTCTGGTCGAATCTGTGTGAAAATATGTCATTTTTGTATTAATTTTACTAGTAATGAAAGAAACACATGAAATTGTTTTACAAGCATCATGTACGGATTGGTTGGCAACATAGCGTGTTTTACGCCGTCGTCATGGAAACCTTTGTTTTACTCACCTTCACCGAACATGTGTATCTCTATAGTTGTGTCAGTGGAATCTGCAAAAAAATGAATATATTTAGGGTCAATTCAGGACGCAGTTAAGACCTGGTCAAAGTTTAGTCAATGGCTGAGGGATATTGGTCAGTACACTCAGAGTAAAACAGACAGTCAAATTCATAGCCTCGATTCCGCAAACTGCCGAGATTATTAAAGTGAACGTTCACTCACAAATGTTGATATAGAAATACCTTCAGCGAAACCAATACTGAATTTCTTTGAAAGCACCATATATCACACTTTGTATGAGTTATGCCATGCCAATATAAACGAATTCCGTGGTCAAAATATTGCGATCTTGTCTTGACCACACATGGAATATATATATAATTTATATATTCTCCGAGAAGGATTAACTATCTACATTTGTGTTGTTAAACAAGATATATTACTTGTAGATAATGTCTGCTAAACAACTGTTTATAACAATGTATGAAATCCGGAAAATTAATTTTCTTTTAGCCGAATTAACAGCCTCTATTTCAAAACATGAATGAAATAATATGAAAATAAATATGTTCAGTTAGGAAATATCGTTGCCCAGGTAGAACTAACCCCATGAGGATGCAGAATGTCTGGTTGGTTAGCTAGGGAGGGGGCTTTATAATGACGTCATTATCGCATTGAATGATGGGGAATTTGTGTTGAAATAACGAAAGAAAAGTGTTATCAAACGGGCATGGACGTTAGTGTTAGTGTCATGAATTTGTTTTTGCGTATCTGTTGACCGACTTAATTAACTGATTATTAGCGAATTGCTGTGTTATGTCTGTCATCGTGTAGGCCTATTTGAAGTTTTGGACGGAACTTGGCTCAGCGGTTTGGAACTAATTACAAGATACCGTCGCTATTCTGACATCCGTAGTTATTAATGTAGTGAACGATTAATCAAAAGATATGACGTATTCAGTACTTAGTTTGATTGGCTTTATGATTGAAGTTTACGCCTTGGGATCTCTTATACTGATTGTAATTGGTTAAGGGGTGA